TTATGGATTCCTTCAACGAGAGGGGCAAGATGGTCTCTCATCTGTGGGCTGATCTGGGTTTGGATCAATCTAACCAAAAGGGAAAAGAACAAACAAACAAACAAAAAAAAAAAAAGAAAAAAAAAGCCACAAAACCCCAGTGCATTTTAGAATCAACTACTAGAAATAAAAATCAAAATTCACAAGTTTGAGACAATTACAATGGTACATGGCATTCCCAGTCCAAAGGTTATTGAAATAGTTGAAAAACTTCTAGTCAGACAAAACTTCAGATAAAAATTAATAGAAATATTAATATTAGATACAGTGGAAGACTTTAAATTACAGGTCAATGGTAGTTTAAGGATAAGCATGAATAAAACTAATGTAACTAAAAATTTCTGCTTTACTAGCATAGAAGTCTTTTGAATTATCTGATATATACAAAAAAAGATGATGACATATCACTAGAAACATAACTTAAGAAATATTTAATTGATTTGAGAGAAGTAGAGAAGTTTTGCTTGAAAAGGCAGAAAGTTACCAATAAAAAAAATCATTCTACTTTTTAATTTCAAAGTAATCAATCCTCAAATATCCTATGGGATGTTTCAAAAGTTCACATGTTCTAAACCTTACCTCTTCTTCCTTTCTATAGGAGAAAGGAGGGGTAGAGCCTGCTAACTTAGGTCTCAAAAACTGGATGGTAAGAATAGTTTAAGTGTACAGTGCATTTTAGACAACATTTCATCAGTTAACTTCATATAGCCTTTTTTGTTTTTGTTTTTTTAAAAAAAAAAGCTTCTTTTTAGGTACTTTAAAATTTAGAAAGAAAAGGACTCAGGAGTTGTGCTCTAGAGTTAAGCTATAGCAGAGTTCTCAGGAAAGCATCTAGCACACAAAAAACACCCCTCTGCCCACTCATTAGCACAGTAGTGTTTAAAGGCCGGGGGGGAATCATACTACATAATGCTATTTTCCTAAAGTGGATGAATTCAGGCAAAATTTGGCCAGAGGACACGTTTTTTTCTTTTGTCCTATATCACTGCTTTTTCTTGAAAAACATAAACATGAAAGGCTTTGAAATTTGCATCTCATTCATGGTTATTCAGTGGCTGCATTTTTAGTTCTGTAAAAGCTGAAAGTGTTGAAGAACTTTGTACTTCAAAAAACTTAAGTCAGAAATGAATACCAGTATGTCACTTTTCTACATGAAGCTTCTGAAAGCCCTACATCTACAGAACTTAAACACACATGCAGGCAAAACAATTTAGTGGTTGCTATAAAATGTTAGGAAGCAGTAGAGGTAAAAGAGTTGAAACCTTTTTTTTTTTTTTAATTTGTGTATTAAAAAAAAAATAAAAATGATGTTGCTAAAATGGTAAACAACACTTTGAAAATTTCCAGAAAGTATTAGACTAAGGAAGAGTGCTGCCAAGGAAAATTACCTTCCAGGTCTGCAGCTCCAGGAAATAGCATGATAGAGAAGCCAAGGCACCTCACAGAGCACCTTTTAAATTTAAGGTTGCAGAGTTCATGTTAAAATAAAAATAAAAAAAAGGGTAACCCATGCTGTAAAACAGGCATGGAAAACTCTTGATGCAACTCATCTGCATCTTACAAACAAACAAAAATCCTCCCCCAAAACAACTTATTCCATGTTTATCATTTTAATGGTTTCTCTTAATTTTAGGAAGGAGAAACAGCTTCCTAAACTTATTCCACAAGACAAAAAAAAGTCAGACACAAACAATACATGAATCATCATATTGTGACAGATATACCTACTTCTGAATATAGGGGTGGAGGCAGAAAACGGAACTCCTGGATGTATGCAAATAATGGTCCTTGAAGTGCTCTCTCAAAATCATCAAAAGCAGCTATAGGTGCAAGGCTGGACTGTCTGTTTTCCTCTGTGACCACTTCTGCATAGCTAGGAGGTGCTTAAGAAAGAAGGTACATGCAGTTCAAACAACAAGTTCTTAGGCATGTCAAAATATATAACATGATAAATATTAAACTTTAATCGCTGTAAGATTCACCAGCAGGCAGGTGACTTCTTCAAAAATTGTTAAACAAAAAAGGGAGACTAGACTATTTCATTTTATTCTAATATTAAGCTTATGTTCAAAAACAGACTGACCACTGTTTATTGTGGCTTAATTATCCCCTTAAAATTTAAAGCATACCAAAGATAGTTTATTTCTGTACAGATAGACAGATAGGAATGACAGAATATTGCAGTCCTCCAGACTCCAGAAGTCTCCAGGTCTGGGAGTTGCACTTAAAAAAACCAGGATATTAGATACGTGAAAACAGAAGGAAGGAAATACATAATTTTTTTTTTTGGCCATAAGAGATTTCCCATAGAAAAGAATATTATCTTTTCACAAAGCCTTGGCTACTAAGGCTGGTGAGAGACCCCAGAAACTGCTATTATGGGTTGCAACGCCTTATAACCAAGAATGCAATTGGGATACTGGAGGTGGAAGTAATGAAGTTGTGCACAGATACAATGGTATCCTGTGCTTTCATTTCTGCCACCTTCTAAGGCAGCTGGATTTCACTGCCTGTCCTAGAGAGAGGAAGGCAGGGAGGGAAGAAACTCTATTCTACATAGGATAAGCCAGTGGCAAGAAAACATCCACAACAGATTTCCTGTGGGCTTTGTTATGAAAGGATGTAATTTGACTCTGTTAGCAAGACTGCAATAAATAAAACAAACAAAAATCAACACAGACTAGCAAATTGATTGGGATTTGTATTGTCAAGTTACCTTCTGGTCTTTCAGGCAGTGTCAGGCCAAGCCAATTCATGTTCATGCTACCCTGGCTGCTCACACTTGATGTTCTGCTACCAAATGGATGTAGAGGAATGGTACCAATGACCAGTGGTAAGTTAAGGAATAAATCCATGGCTCCTGGAATATCAACATATACCTGAAGAAAAATGAAACAAGTGTATGATTAAAATGTGGGGTTTTATCAGCACTTCATAAGTATTAGTCTAAGTTGTCTTTCCATGGAAATTTCCATGAGGAGCTTGTTTCTAATAGTCTATTTTAGGGCCCATGTCCCTATGGAGACATGAGCTCTTCAAGTTAAAAGAAGAGTCTTAACATGAGTCCTCACATGGAAACACAGTCTATTCATTAAATGCTCGCTTAGTTGACACACAACTGTTTTAAGAACTTGCGTGATTTAAACCAAATTTACTTACCAGATCTCCTGTCAGGACACTAATACCAGAACACATGTATTTCTTTCATAACTAATTATCACAAAATGCTCTGCTAGGAATTTGTATGGAATGTTGGAAGCTACTCATTCTTGAGAGTGAAACAGACCACCCAACATACCATCAGTGAATACTCCACACGGATTATACTACAGTCAAGGATTGAAGGGGAAACAGGTGGAATTTTCAACTGTTTGCCATTCCAGGTTTCTGTTTTACCAGATGACAAGGATTCCCCACGGAGGTTGGCAACAAGCTGTTTTACTTCCTTCATTTTCCCTTTGGCATAGAATGCCTGTGTTTGGTAAATGGTTGCCTTTGGCACCACCATACGGGAAGAGCAATTCTCAATCTCAGCAAAGATCTGAATTGATTCACCTGAAACAAACAAACAAACAAAATCCCAGAATTTCAAGTTCTCTTTACATTTACAAGGCAGCTTAAGCTAACTGTCACATTCTGTATACTGTTATAATGCACCAGATGCTGCTATCACTGCTCTACCTGGAAAAACATCTACTGATGCTAATAGAAGCAAGATTCCCATGAGCTGTTCTAAAAGGAAAAACACACAAACAAAAACCCACAAAAACCAAACCAAACCAAAACACACCAGACTAATAGATGAGGTCCTTTAATAATCTAGAGATACAAGTAGCGCTGTCTTAGTTAAGAGTATACTGAGAAGATTGCTAAGTGCAGACTGAGGTGGTAAAAATATCCTTAATGTTTCATTTATATAAAAACAGTAAGTACAAACTGTAGCTTTAAAAGGGAAGGAAAAACATATCCTATAATTACTTCTATTACATACCTGGAGTGTAGCCCTTTCTTTCAATTTTAGCACTTAAGGATATTGGGCCTGAGGTACAAAGCCAACAACATAGAGTCTTTTCTTTTGTGCCTGCTTGGGGTGACTGCAAGAAGAGAAAAAATATTGTCCATCAAATTACAAGTTCCACGAATCTCTTCAGGTATTTAAATCAACACAGGAAAATAATCATTTTCATAATGCGCTTATTATTACATATTTTGATAAACAAAGCTACTTTCATAGGAAAGGTCTCAAGCAATTTAAACAGCATTATACAGATACGTTTGTCCTAATTCTATTGCTGTATTAGTATTGCTTTTTCTGCCATCCTCCATACTACAGCCATACTTAAAACAGTTTTTAATACTAAAAATAAATACTGTATAGCTTAAAACAAAAGTCTTCATAGCCTACACATCCCAACATACTGTTGCAGAGCTTTTCATTTAACTAACAGTAAATTAGAAAATATTTGCACTTTCCATTAAGCTGTATTTCAGAAACAAAATAACTAAGCTAAACTACTGTAATCTTGACTCCTACTATTTCCTTGGTTTCTGAACGATCCTGTTTCATCTATATTATAAAGACTTATTTTACACAACATCAGGATTTAATGGGCTTTGGATCAAGCAATAAAGTCAAATGAGAGACCTTTGATTTTAATGCAGTTTGTGCAAGGTCCCTTTGCAAGCCTGATTTTTCACCCATACACACAAGAAACCTATTCAAATGGACTTTAATTCCCCCCCCCCCCCCCTTAAAATTTGAGAAAGGAATAAAATAAAGGAATTTTAGGCCAGACTGAAATCAAATCCTCATTGAAAGCAGTTGTGATATTAAAGTTATTTTAATAAAATGAAATTTCAGGAAAGGATTATACAGAATTGTGATAGTTTCTCCCCATCAGTAGAAAACTATCCATACGGAAATTATCAATTATGCACTGTAGTAAATTTTTTTTACTGTGCATTTTTAAGTTAGCAGTTCCTCACTAAAATATTAAGAGCTGCACTGTTCCTTCCATAGATTATTCTGTATTTATATTTGAAGAGGAACAGTTCACCAAATTTTCTTCCTTAATGAGATTCTACAATTTAGTAGTATCAATTTAGATTGACAAATGCATTTTATGTATCGTAAAAATCAAGCAACTCCAAGTACAGGATAACTTAGCCTTCAAAATACCAGCAGTTAAAGAGTTGCTAAACTGATTATAATACTTAAAAGAAGAGCTGTAGTTAAACTAGCAAATAAATATTAGGTAAAATTGCATGTGATGTTGTTTCAGTTATTATACTTCGTTATTTTTATGCCAGAAAAAGAATGAGTAATTCTGTCAGTTCTTACCAGTAATGAAGGAGTGTTGATATCTATATGTTCAAAGACTGTAAATTCCTTCTTTAATTTTACTGGTAGAAGCCAAGGCCTATGCAATTCAGCTTTCACCCAATAGCGCACACTGCCATGTCTGCCTTCAAATGAGGTAGCAAGTGGTCTGTGCAGGACAAAGGTCAAAGTTGAGTAAAATTTTTCTCTTTCCAGTAATGATACAATTGATCAGATTAGGAATTAGTATGTAGAACTGTATTTTTAGTGCATCATAATAAGCATAACTTATTTGCAAAGTTTCCATATCTCAGAAAAATGTAAGATTAAAGTTGGGAGAAAATATCATCTCCAATTCATCCAACAGTAGTTTTGTAGAAGTTTTAAGAATCGGTTAAAGAATTTTAAGAATCGGTTAAAGAATTGTGCTAGAAAATGCCAGAAGAGTATACATTTCCTTTAGACCTAAGAGGCCACTTTCAAGTATAGAATAAAAGCATGCCCTTTTAAGGTCAAATTAAGACCACCAAATAAAATTAGCATTAGTACCAAAACAATAATTGGATGGACATTGTATTCTGTAAGTAATTGTGTATTATTTACTTGGCTGGTATCTCAGTGGTTTATTTTAGCTATAACTGAGTGCTTTTGTAGTTTGTTTTGCATTAGGTATGGTAGTTAAATATTTCAGTTTAGAGTTCTGAATAGAGAGAGAGGCTATTTTGAGCATCTTCTAATTTTCCTTTAGCCTGATGAGGCCATCTTAAAATATTGAGAGAGAGATATATATATATAAAAAATAAAGACTATTCTGCTCTGAACGCTGAAAGACAAAGGAAGCCCTTTTGGGGAGTTGGGGGGGGGGGGGGTGAGGGTGGGAGATGGCTCAGTG